CTCTCTCTCTCTCTCTTTCTCTTATTAACAATGATCTCCTGTCTGGTCCAAGGTCACACATTTCCAGTGTTGCAGGAATGTCTATTGAATCTGCTAATTAGTGGCCAGGAAGAATACTCAAGTTTCTCATGCTCATATTTGAGTGTCAGTTGTCTCCAGCCAGCATTTCTAAACCAGGATTCTTAGACAAGACTTGTGAAGAGTTTTGTAAAAAGTAGCTCCCAAGATGACAGTATTCACTGTGGGCAGCAGGACTGTTCCCACGCAGTAGGGCTATGCTTGGTGTGCATTGGAGCCATGCACACTGTGCCCACAGGGCAGATTCTGTGCTGCTGACTCTGATCTCTGTGCTTGGGAGGACCGTGTCCACTGCTAAGTTTACATGCGAATTTGATTCTTAAGAAAATGGTCATTCATAGCTGTTGAACACTGAGTCACATAGAGGGAGAGATGGTAGCTGAGGACACCTTATCTCTGATGTGCATAAGGTGATTAGATCTTCTAGTGGAATAGGGAGATGAAGAAACCTGTAGCTCTAAACACAGACTTTCCAGCCCTCAGTCTCTGCTGTCCATGCTGTATGTTCCTGGGAGATGTGGACCACGTGTGTTAGAGGTGAAGGGGATTGGGAAGCTTCCATGGTCTCTCTCACCATCTCCCTTGCTCATCTAACACACTCTTCTACACCTACTTTATTGGAACTTCTGCTCTACAAACATGCCTGAACTCTAAATTAGAGACTTTTGAAAGTGCAGACAATTGCAGGAACTCATCCAACTGGAGAATTTTCCACCACTTGAAGCAGTGAACACGTCTCTGCAAGGCTCCAAATTTCAAGTGACAGGATTTTGGGATTTCAAAGAAAACTCAATCTTTGAATAAACCACAATACAAGAGGAAATCATCACACATTCCCCTGCTGCTTGGGCCTCAGTGAGGACTGACTCAGCCAGTCTCAGGCTCCTGGAGACCTCCTCGGTGATGTGCACTAGAAAAGTCCTTTCAGTACAACCTGGGGCAGGTAAGGGGCCCTTACTCTGAAATTCTGCTCCCTGATAATTGTGCTTTCAGAGAAAAACAAAAACCTGTGATTCCAAGAAGTTCAAAGCCCACAAATAAGGTCTCCTCATTCTCCCGTGACAGCCCGAGCTCCGCATTCCCAACATGAAGAGCATCTTCCCGGCATGAAGAGCCAGGAGTAGAGAGGGAGCTTCTCACAGGGGTGAGCAGGACAGAAGCCACCTTTGTCAATGGGAAGGAAATGTGCTCAGCTCATGTCTGAACCGGAATGACTCAGTCACACCTGTGCAGGGTCACCTGCATGTGAACATCATCTATTTGCTCCATGAGTAATACCCTGTGTGACTCTTGGGTAAAATCTTACCACAGGTGACATTTCTCTGCCTATGCTTCAACCCATGTTTTTCAAAATTCACTGTAGGACACTTACATAAGGTAACTATGTCAGGTGTGGGATGTATTGAATAGGAAAAGCAGAGGCTTCCTGTATCAATGCTCATGGCTTGTGTTTATGGCCACAACTCATGGAAATGGAAAAAACAAAAAACAAAAACAGAAAATGATACTCCGCTCAAAAAGCACTGAGAAATACCATTGTATTAATATATCTACAACTTATAAGTTGAGTTAATAGAACATTAACTTAGATAGATCGTTTTTATGGGGGGATTCCTAAACCTAAAACATTGTATTAAAAATTTTGTCAGGTTGAAAGGTAGAGCAGCACTCCCTACAGGCAGCTGGAAGAACTGATGACGGGAAGCTGTTTGCATCAGGACCTCCAAAATTTGACTTAAGATTATCCGATGTACCCTCCCCAAGCCCAGGATGCTTCCAGGCCACTAGAAAGAGCTCATCATTAAGGGTCTAAGATTTCTCTGATCTTGCTCTTCTTTCTTCCTTCCCCAGTGACCTTGGAACTGTCACTCCCTCTCACAGACCCTTCTTTTCCTTGTTAAGTGCGCTCCCTGAATTCTTTGCCCCTGGGTCAGCAAATCTCTAGAACTTCAGGGAAAGCAGGGCTGGGTCACCCACACTGGGTCCCAGAAAGCTGGCTAAGGACCAGACACACAGGCAGCAGGGTGGGTCCCCCCAGGGCTACATGGTGGGCATCGGGTAGAGGGGAGGGACAAGGAACCAGTCCCTGAGTGTCCAGAGGGCCAGGTGAACTAGAGAAGGGCTGGGACCTGGTCTGGACCCACGCAAGCCACACCTGTCCCTACACAGTAGCATCTTCCTGGAGGTCAAGAGTGATTTCGTTGCTATGCTGCCCCAGATCACCTAATTTATTACCTGTGAATTTCACACACTACACATCATGCCTGTCCCCAAATTCTTCACTTGTGAGCGAATGCCACATCTGACCTGAACTGGTTTACATCCCAGATCCCCTTCAGGCTTCCCACTGTCTTTTCAGATCCTCACACACCCGAGACCCTTCCCCCCAGGGCACAGACACAGCTCCCCGCACACACTTCCATCACTCCTGTCTTCACTCCTTCCTCAAAGGAGCTCCGCAGACTGTTCTTCAGGGAGGCCTTCTCCAAACACTGAATCTACAGCAGCCGCCAGTCAGCTTCTGTCGGAACTTTCCATGATTATCTGCATACAATTCCACGGTTATTCTTCTATTTCATTATTTTTGATTGATTTACTTCTATTAATCATTGCATTATCAGTCAGAAATGCTTTTTCACTACAAGTACATGTGTGGCAGGAACCAGGGAGCATCCAATTTTCTTCCACAAAAATAAGTGTGCATGTGCTTGGTGGTTGAGTTCCAGATGCTCACCAGTGCCACAGGAAGCTCAAATATTTATAACTCTCCATTCCCTTTCAATGCGATGTTGACTTTGCTTTCACTGTTGTTGATATAAGGCCTCAGCGTGGCTGCTGCAGCTCCAGTTATCACACCCATGTTCAAGAGATAAAGCAAAGCTCAAATCCGAATTAGTCCTTCCTTCATAAGAGGAAAAGTTTCCTGAGGGCAAACTCAGCCATCTGACTCTTACATCACATGGATCAATGGTAGGCTACATACATGGTCACTCCTGGCTGGGAGACACTGGACATTTGCCTGGTTTTCAGTTGAATAGAGGGGATGACACACAGGTGTAGGGAGTATCTGCTGGGTCTGTAAACCCAGTGTGCCTACTGCACTGACCCAGCAACAGGACAGGAAACTCCTCAGAGCAAGGACTGTGTCTTCCTCACGCTGAATTCCTAAAATGCTGTCTTACCAGGACAGAGTGGGTCAGGGGAATATTTGTTGAGTGAATGAGCTTCTGTCTCTGTTGTATTGCAGGAGTCACCATCAACCCCACATTGTCCCTATATTTGCATCCAGACCCAGTCAGAGCCACACCTCAGTCCTGTATCCCTCAGTACCAAGTCCCAGTCCCCCTTCAGGACCACCCCCCACCCAGTGACACGTGCAGGGAGCCTCAGGAGGGCCCTGTCACCTCCTCCTCCACATGTGAGTGTTTGTATTTCCATCAGGAATCTGAGTGCCTTGTGCCAGGTCCTGAGGCAGGAACGGGCCACATAGAGAAGAGGAATTTCTTCCCTGAGGTCAGCAATCCACGAATGAAGGAATCAGGGAACTAAGCATCAGATTCTGAATCTACACCTGGACGCAGGAGACTCCCTTGAGCCTCCAGCAGCCAGCGTAGAGAGGCCACCAGGGGGCAGCAGAGAGCAACCTGGCAGAAACTCCTGGGGATGGGGTGGGCCTGGGCATCAGGGAGATGCTGCCATGCAGGGAAGGGTCAGTGACCGTGACCTGAGACCTGGAGGGAAAGAGGTTCTTCTTTTCTTAGAGTACTTGTCCTTGACACTGATGTTTAAAGTCTTCTGACTTCCTGGTTCTCAGATCTGACTCTTGGAGATGGTGCCTATTTTTCTGACACAGATTCAGGCACTTTGCCTCTTCCCATAGCCCGCCCCCCATCTCACGGTCACATATGCCATCCCATTCTGTAGTCACACATATCCCACCTCTCTGCCCTTTGCTCTGGGAGCTCCTGTCCTGCAGATATAGGGACTTCTCCTTCCCTGGCCACTCCTCCATGTCCACTGTTCCCAGTCTGTCCTGGTGAACCCCCCAAATTACAGCTCTTGATTTCCTTATGAGGCACAAAATACTTGCTCATTAACCTTTCCTTGATTTCAGTTTTTATCCATTGATACATTTTCCCAGCAACTGAAGACAACTTCGTTATAATAAACACTCACTCCCAGGGTCTTGGAGTTTGCAGTCCCTTCTCGTTTTCTCATGAAGCAAACATCTCCTTCCCATCCTGATCTGTCCCTGGTCCTGAAAGCACCCTGGTGATACCGAGGCACAGCACCTATGACCTGGCACTAGAATTCACAGTCAAGGTAGAAACTTATCACATCCCATGGATCTTGCAACACTCCGTGTGCACTTGGCAACCAAGCAATTTCATTCTCCCCTAGCACTGAGGAGCTGTGCCCTGGGGTGAGGCCCGGACCTGTCCAAGGCTTCTGCTGGCCCCTGTAGAGTGGGAATGAAGAGGGTCCTGCATTGGGCTCTGCATGTGTCTTCAAAATGGATTTACGCCTATACCAGACATCTCACATCTGGCATAAAATATTTATGACCAGGACATTTCTAGAGACACAGACAAAAGCTAACCACCTCCCTCCTGAGCTAGGATGGAAGGGAGGAGGGGACTGTGGACTCCAGGTAATTCCCCCATCACCACTGTGACTCTGGCATCCTCTTGAACAAGGCCAAGCACTATCCCATAGGAAGAACTTTGTATCCCCTAGAGAATGAAGAGAAACTCAGCTCTGAGCTTTTCCATGACCAACCCAGCCAAGCAGCAAGGCTGGGCACAATCTGGGTAAAGATGTGAGCCTACACCGTGGGATCAGTGGGTGAAGGAAAATCGCATTGGCTGAGGGGGTGGGTAAGCAGAGGCCACCCCTCCTCTCTCTGTTTCCTTTTGGGTTGAGCCCTTCACTGGAAACCACAGATCTCCTCCAGCAGCAGCTCCTGACTCTGCTGATTTGCATCATGGGCTGTTCTCTTCAGCAAAGGTATAAGAGAGGCCTGAGAGGAACCTGCCCAGCCTGGCCTCGGGAAGCAGCCTTGGCGGTGCCTCAGCCATGGCCGGGACCCTTCTCCTCCTCGGCCTCCTTGCTCACTGCACAGGTGCTGCCCCCAGGGTCTCACCAACCTGCCCAGACCAAGGGCTCCGGGTTCAGTGTGGCCTTGACTCTGAGCTCAGCGGGGCCCTGCCTGTGGTGGGCAGGATGCTCATGACCCTGCTGCAGGGTGGGGGCTGTTGGGGCTGAACTCCCCGCACACTCTGCTCAAAGGCTTGTGAGAGCCTGAGCGGCTGCACCTGCCAGGAGAGAGTAGTGGGTTTTCCGTTCAAAGGCTCCACGCAACAGGAAAGTCCATGGGCCACTGGCACTGGGGCTGATCGCAGGGGATACCTTAAGGGTTCACAGACTCTCCGGAACTTGTCCACATCAGGAGGGCAAGGATTTCATAAAAAGGGTCTTTTACCTGCAAGTTAACCACTACTTTTTTTCTTTCTTTTCCTTTGCAGGCTCTGCGGTCTCCTATGAGCTGACTCAGCCACGCTCAGTGTCCGTGTCCCCAGGACAGACGGCCAGGATCACCTGTGGGGGAGACAACATTGGAAGTAAAAGTGTGCAGTGGTACCAGCAGAAGCCACCGCAGGCCCCTGTGCTGGTCATCTATGCTGATAGCGAACGGCCCTCAGGGATCCCTGAGCGATTCTCTGGCTCCAACTCAGGGAACACCGCCACCCTGACCATCAGCGGGGTCGAGGCCGGGGATGAGGCTGACTATTACTGTCAGGTGTGGGACAGTAGTAGTGATCATCCCACAGTGACACAGGCAGATGGGGAAGTGAGACCAAAACACCCTCCCAGCCTCTGCCACCTTCTTGCTTCAGCCCCGGGAGGCCTGTGGATAAAGCCATGAGTGAATCTGGCCCAGTTCACCTGGATCTGAGCCTTTCAGGCGCCCTTCCCTCCAGCCCCCTCCAGGAGTCCCTACAGAGCGTACATCAGGCAGAGACATGGCCTGGAAGGACCAGAATCATCTGGTGACTTGGGGCTGTTGTGTGAGTTAGAGAATGAAGGCCTGGGTAGAAACACAGACAGAGGCAACCTCTGTCCACTGTCCTGCTCCTGGATGGTCATATGGTTGGACAGGGCAACTCCTGAGATCAACGGTCTGGATCAGGCCCCAGAACTGCTGCCCAGCCCTGCTGAGGTCCTGGCCCCAGGCTGTGTGGCAGCCTGTGATTCCCAACAGAGCAAACCAGAGGAGGGGACACTGTGAAGTCTGCCCAGATCCCCTCTTCCTTGTGACCCACCTGGCACTGCTGAGAAGCCCAGTAGCTTCTCAGAGGTTGTTTTCAAAAGAGAAATAATTCGCAACTGCACATGACATAGACTTGTTGCTAAATCCCATGGGTCTACAGTAGGATTCTCCTCTGAAGCCTTGCCTTAAGCACAAGGTTTCAGTTCCTATGTCCAGTTCCTCTATTATGGCGGAGTCTGCTAGTTTCTCAGTCCCAATAGCAGGACACCGACACCCCTGCCTGCACCTGCAGCAGAGCCTTTCTGCTCTTGGCCCCAAAATAACGAATGAGGCATTTCTCAGACCCATGATGTATGAAGTGGCACAATCTCGGCTCACTAAAACCTCAGCCTCTCAGGTCGAAGCAATTCTCCCTGCCTCAGCCTCCTGAGTAGCTAGGATTACAGGTGCCCACCACCTTGCCTGGCTAACTTTTGTGTATGTAGTAGAGACAGGTTTTCACCATGTTGGCCAGGGTGGTCTTGACCTCCTGATCGCAAGTGATCCACCCACCTCGGCCTCCAAAAGTGCTGGGAATATACACGTGAGCCACTGCACCTGGCCATGTTTTTCTTATTTTTGCTCCTCCTCTTTTCCTCAACACCTCAGGTTGGTGAACTGGGGAGATTTTGAGGGACAGGCTCAGTGCTCCCTCAAAATTCCCCTGTCGCACATCGCTGAGGCCCTGTCCTGGAAACTCCCCAAAAGTGGATGGTCTCCCTATAGGATGGGAGCTTCCAAAATGGCTCCACAGGGAAGAGTTAACCTGAGTCCTTTCCTTCGTCCTCATTGACATCCAGCATTTGTGATTTCCATGGACATCAGTACTTTTGTAGCTGAAATCTTTATTAATCTACTTAAGGAGATAATTAATTTAATAAATATTCAGACATTAGTTGCATCCAATATTTAAATTTCTTTAATCAATTGGTAAACATAGCCATGATTATATATAGTTTAGGCTTCATAAACTTCGATTAAATGGATTTTACGAAAAACAAAGTAACCATTTTATTCTACCTGTATCCTATATCAATATGTTGTGTACTTGAAATATCCACAAGAAAATGTATTTCAAAAATCAAAGTGTATTTATTGCCTATTGTTGCATAAAAATTGCTCCCTAATAGTGAGCATGGTAAAAGAACATGTGTTTGTGATCTTGTCACTTCGGTGCACCTGGAATTGACAGTCGCTTAGTTTTGTGGTTCTGGCTCTGGGTTGGTCACAAAGTTGCAGCCAAGTTGTCAGGCCAGGCTGCATTCAGAGACTAGAGCAGGTGGCCAGGCCCTGCCTGAAGGGCTTTTACTCTCCCTACCCTGTTTGGCTGATGTGGGAAAGCTCAGAGGAAAAGGAGAGAATGAAGTGTAAGGCTTTTGTCCTGGTGCCCCTTGTCAAAGACCATCCCCTACATGCACCATTTCTTATTCTTTCCTGGGATATCCTAGGCATAGAGCACTGCCCAAGTATTCTAAGGCTATAGAGTATTCCACAGCAGGATTTTAGCCAGGCAACCTCTAATGGTTATCAGCATGATTTTGATCTTACAAATCACACTGCAGCGAGCATCCTGTGCAGACTCCTTTGAGCTCCTGTGTGCATATGAAGGTAGGATGAATTTCCAGAAGTGGAATTGTTGGGTCAAAAGGATGTGCCTTTCTAACTTTTACCCATTGTTTTCACATTCCCCTCCAGAGGGGTTCTACCAGTTTACAATGCCAGCCCTAAATATCGATTGGAGTACATTGGTGAAAGTGCAAACCTTTGCCAACCTGTGAGATATAAAAAGTTATCTTGTTGCACTTATATTTTTGATTTCTCCTATTTTGCTTGAGGTTCAGCATTTACTCAAATATTTTAGGGTTCATTACTTTTTAGAATTTGGTATACTCTTTCTTAAATGTCTAGATAAGAAGTATTTTAGTCTTTGCCACACATGAGACAACGTTGGGGATAATATGTAGGTTCTGACAGCACCATCTGCAATGTAACCATTTAAAAATATGAAAACTGCTATCAGTTGTGGGGATATTTAAAAAACATGGCAGGCCAGAGATGTCCCACAGGATGTGGTTTAATGTTCCCTGGTTTCTAGGGTTATTTGAAGTCTGAAAATTGCACCAGCATATGTTCTAGGTGGAGACCTCTTTGTGAGGGACACTGTATTTCACCTCGTACAGTGGCCTGAGGTCTTTCTTTGGATAAGAACATACTTGTACCATCTATTTGGTTGGATCTTGTCTCTGCTCAAGACAGCCCTGTGTCACAAGCTCATGACTTTCATCTTCATCCATTTGCTCTGAGTTTTGTGAGAACTTTAGTATAACAGGAAGAGAGTTTTTTGGAGTCCATAGGATGGAGGGTTGTTGGCTGAATTATGTTCTCCACAATTCATGCATTGAAGCTGTAATGCAGTGTGTGTGTGACCGAAATTGCACACAGCATCTTTAAAGAGGTGATTAAGTGAAAATGAAGAAATTAGGGTGGATTCTTATCCAATCTGACTGATGTCATCCTAGAAAGTAAAAATTTGCACACACAGAAATGAGACACCAGAGATGAGCGTGCAGAGGAAAGACCATGTGTGGACACAGCAAAGAGGTAGGGACCTGCAAGTCAAAAAGAGAGGCCTCAGGGGAAATCAAACCCACCAACACCTTTATCGTGGATTTTCCAGCTGCACAACTGTGAGAAAATATCTTTCTGCCATTTAGATCGCTAGCTCTTTTGTATCTTCTTGTGGGAAGTTTAGCAAGCAAAAACAAGAGGGACCTCAAAGACCTTGGATGCGGGAGAAGGAGGACATAGAGTAGGGTGCAGGAGGCGGGGCAGGGAGGGCCTGGAAGGTCGCGCTCTGAGGTGCATCTCCTGGGTGGAATCTTGACTCCACTCACTACTGTCTGGAGGACTTGGGAAAAATATTTAATCTCCTAATATCGATTTACTAATAAAGATAGGTTTGGAGCATAAGGCTCCCCAACATCCTATTCCATATTATAAAAGTCTTCTTGAGGTAACACTTGTAAAACTCTCACCAATGCATCTGGCATGAATTATGGGCTCATACGCAGCCCTTCTGAGTGATCTAGTGACCTACAGAAAATGACATTCACACTGTGGGCACCAGGGGGCACTGTGAGGTTTAGTCTGAGGCCCCTAATGAGTCCAAGCCCCTGGTAATGCTCAAATGCAAAGGGCAATACTGTTGCTTCCTTTAAGGCCCCTTGTATTGGGTAAATCTTAACACACACTTGACTCTTCTTCTGATCTTGAGAAATTACTCAGAGAAGGCCATCAGGCTCACGGCCCAGACAGAACTGGGACAAATGTTTTAGGGAATGCAGAGCAGATTTGCATCCACTGCTCACCAGAGCCACTTAATAATGACATAAGAATAAAGGAAGTAAATTTGCATGAAGAGATTCCCCTCCCCATGATAAAAGAGGCCTGGAGGTTCCTCCCCAGCTGTGGGCTCAGAAGCAGAACTCTGGGTCGTCTCCACCATGGCCTGGACCCCTCCCCTGCTCATCCTCCTCACTCTCTGCACAGGTGCTGCCTCCCAGTGCTCAGCCCCTACAGAACCAGGGATCGGCCTAGCCCTGAGCTTTAGCTCAGCACAGAAAGTGATGGAGGGTGTGGGGCTCTGGAAATGAGAGCCTCATCCTCAGACACCCCTCCTGTCCCCTCTTGCAGGTTCCGTGGTTTCCTCTGAGCTGACTCAGGAGCCTGCATTGTCTGTGGCCTTGGGACATACAGTCAGGATGACCTGCCAAGGAGACAGCCTCAAAACCTATTATGCAAGCTGGTACCAGCAGAAGCCAGGCCAGGTCCCTGTGCTGGTCGTCTATGGTAACAACTACCGGCTCTCAGGGATCCCAGGCCGATTCTCTGTCTCCTGGTCAGGAAACACAGGTTCCTTGACCATCACTGCGGCTCAGGTGGAAGATGAGGCTGACTATTACTGTAACTCCTGGGACAGCAGCGGTACCCATCCCACAGTGACACAGACAGATGGGGAAGTGAGACAGAAACCCCTTCACTATCTGTGTCACCCTCTCTCTCCAGCCCCAGCAGGATTGTGAACAAAGTCATAAGCAGAACTGACCCAGTTCACCTGGATCTGAGACCTCCAGGCTGCCCTTCCCTGCAACCCTCTAGGCAGGCTCTGCAGAAGTTGGGTCAGTATAGGATTTGAGGCTCTAAGGACCACTCTGTTCTGCTGTTGTTTGGACTGAGGGTGTCCTGGCTCAAGATGACCTAAGTAGAAGGACAATAAGAGGGAGGCACACAGCCGTTGAGTGGCCACAGTCCCTGGAGTTCCTCTTGTGTGGTGACTGGATCTAACACAATGCCGGGACCCTGTGGGCCAAATGCCCTGGATTATTGGTCTGAACTGCCCATGTTTAACTGAGACCCTCAAGCCCCAGCTCCATGCATCTCACATTCTAAACAGGAAAGTTTCCTAGTGAACACTGTGGCATGCCTTGTCATCCCTGGCTTCATACAGCTCTTCCCCTCCGAAAAATGCCATTGAGTGCAAAGAACGGCCTCATGCAAAGATGTGCCTCCTTCAGAATATGGTTCAAGAGCAATGACTGCCTGATGCCTTCATCCCAAAGCCATGCTTTAATTTAGGATGACCTTAAATGCCTTCTAGCTGAGCAGTCAACTGTAACACATTCCTACTCACAGCACCTTCGGTCAGAGGTGCCTGGGGGAGGGATGAGCCTGCGTCTGCATCGTGGGAAAGGCTCTCGCTCTGGGCCCTCCTGAAGCACGAACCTCGAGATTGGGGATGCAGCATGAGAACATCTTGCTCTCCTGAGCATCTCCCACCAAGGGAACTGGCTGCGGGGCTGTCCCTAGGATGTGGGTGCCTGGTTACCAGAGTTCTAAGTTCCAATGGGGTCTGTCGCCAAGGAAGTGAACTCACTTCTTTAAGTTTCCATATCCTCGTCTCTTTCCTTCCATAAGATCTACTCAGAAAGTCCTGGGCTGCTGGCCGCTCACCCTCCCCCCAGGTCAGCTCCTTACCTGTACACAGGTAAGCCCACCCAGGGCCTGCTTGTACACCTGCGCCTGATGTGCACCTGGGGCCTAGGAATCCACTTGGGGCCTGCGATCCAACAGGGGCCTAATGTGGATTAAAAGTCATTTTGATTATTCCTGCAGGGAGGAAAAGGCCTTCTAGCAATAAGAAGCACAGTTTCACATCAAACATGTAAAAATGATCAAAATCTCATGGAAGAAAACTATCAATTTTAATCACTAAAATGTTAACTTTTGATAAATATTTAAGTTTATAAGAAAAAATCAAACCATGCTGATTAAACCACAGTTGTAGGGAATGCTATAGAGTTTCTTGTTTGTGGACTGAACACAGAAAGCTCCCACCTACTTATGGTCACAATTTTCTACCTTAATCTTCTTAATCTTATGATTAATAGAAAAAATACCATGACAATGATGGTGATGATGGTTGAAGCACACAACTGAGGTTTAGTGACAGAAACATCAGGTGCTCCAGTTACAGTGCAGCTGTTCTTATTGGGGTGGGAAAATCAATCTTGTGTTCAGTACACATGGGAAGCAGGAGTACATGTGGGGAGAACCGCATTTCACTGCACTTAGGTTTTTCACAGAAGAGCTACAGTTTATCCTGCACTCTCCATTCTGTGATCAAAAACCATGGAACAGAGAAGAGCGTTTCAACCTGAGACTCAGTTACCAGAAATGCACCTGCCCCACCTCCCTGCAACCATATATGCCACCTCTCTGTGCTGAGCCAGAAGGGTTCACATATGGCACAGACTGAGGCTGGACTACATATTTTTCAGTCTCCCAGGTGACAGGTGTTTTGTGGTCACCTGGAGGAGGGAAGCTCCTGGGTTCCATCTTCCTCACCAGCAGGGGGCAGCAGAGCTGCAACCAGAAGTTAGTCTGGGGCTGCCCAGGAGGAGCCTAAGAGGGAGGCCAGTCCTGAAGATTCAAGAGGTATTTGAGGATGAATCCTGGGTCTGGAAGCCCAGTAAAGTGCATCCAATCCCCTCGGGTTGCAGTAAACCCGTCCTGAGTGCTGCATTCACGCGGCATCTCCCAAATGACAGGAGACGGGGAACAGTGAGGGCCTCACCTAGGAAATGCAGCTGGAGGTGCCTGGGCCCTGGTGGCAGCCTGGGCAGCTCCCACAGGGCTAGGATTCCCTGGGAGACGCCCCGAGGTCGACGTGCTCTAGGAGGAGGGCATAGTGTGAGGAAAAAGGGTTTCCAGGGCCTGAGCCTTTCACCTAGTATTGCTGCCTGAGCCTCCTGCCCCTCTCAGGGTCTTGTCCCTCTCTGTTCAGCAACATTCTGAGGAGCTCAGCCCTCAGTCCTGGGCACTTCCACAGGCTCCCCCACCCCTTCTCCCTCTGCCTTTCCTTCCAGTTCCAGGCATACTCTGATTCAGGGGCGGCTCCTGTGCTCAGGGGAGTCTCAGGTGGGTGGAGTGGGGCATTCAGGACCCTGGTTCCTGGATGGGACATCCCCAGCCTCCTTGAGGAGATGGTTTCCAAGGGAAAGGGATTCTCAACAGTCTCAGGCCACAGCTCTGGCCACCAGGTGGTCTTTGGCTCATTGACAGGATATATGTCATTGCAGGGATCAGGGATTACCACCCTATGGAGCCCACACCCTGTGCAAAGACTGTGTCCCTGGGATTCTCACAGAGACCATGGGGCTTAAAGTTGGATTTCCCATCAATATTTCATGTAAACTTGTAAAAGTCACCAGAAAACCACACTAGATAGAGAACCCTGGTGCTTTTTACCATTTTACATAAAATATTGATGGAAAAATAAATAAACAATGGCAGAGCTGAGGATGGCAATGGCTGGTGTACTGTGGGGATGGGGACAGACTAGAAGTATCAACACCATGGGTGAAATGAGACCAGACGTCCTGATGAGTCCACATGGATGAGTGGTTCCTTAAATGACTCAACTATTCTCACTAAAGTAGGTGACAAGTGTCCTAATGACACAATCCATCATTCAGATGAAATGACCAGGATGGGACATTTCCTCAAACCAGGAAGACTGTGGACAAATTCATGAGCAGGTCTGCCCCAGTTCACCTGGCTCTGAGACCACTGGATCTGAGTTCCTCCAGCCCTCCAGGCAGACTCTGCAGAGGGGGCGTCAAGAGTGGATTTAGGACGCAGCTGACCGCAATGTACTGGGGTGTGGGACTCAGCTGTGACTTAGGGAAATGGGGTCTGGTTGAATCATGAGACTGAGGTAGACATCCCTCAGCTGGTCTCTGGATTTCCACAGGTCATGACAAGCCAGTCCTTGGCCTGAATATCCTGGATCAGTCCCCAGACATGAGCTCAGGCTCATGTCATTCTCTACAGAAAAACCAGCGGAGTGGACACTGTGGGATCTGCTCGGATTCCTTCCTCTGATCTCACCCCCGCGCACTGTTGGGAGCTTGTGGCAGCTGAGAGCTGTGCCTTCTTCACTGGGAAGTGCTGCTCAGCACAGAAAACTGCCTCCTCCAGGTTTATGCCCTTCCTCAGCAAGGTTAGGTTTCATGAGTGCCTGAGGCCAACCCTCTGCCTCAATATAGGAGGACCTGAAATTCCTCCTAGCTCCACAGCTCCCTGTGGGAAAGACTGAGGACTCAATGAGGGTCGGGGTCTCCTGCCCGGTGTTGCTTCCCTTACCTCCTTTTACAAATTCTGTGCATACAATTCTTCATGTCAGAGTCTGTTTCCAGGGAACCCAAATTAATATCACCAGCCATCCCCAACATGGGCCATGCAGGACCTCAGGAGGCCAGTGTACACTGGAAAGCACCCATTTATTCCTAAATTAGCATTGTGAGTATCCAGATGCCCAATGAGATCTGAGTGTTTCTTGCACTTGTATGGAATGCAAAGGGAGCCTGAGTCACCAGGTGCTCTGGGTTCTGAGGGAGAGTTGGAGTCAGATCCCCCCACAGAGAAACCCAGGGCAGGAGGAGCAGCTTCACCCCATGCAGGGACCACAGATGTACCCACAGTGGGAGCTGCAGGATGGACACTGCCCACCTCCACCCTCCACACCCTGGGTAAAAAATCATTCTTTCCACCCCTCCTTCAGCCTATCAAAGTTGACACTTAAAAAGCCACAGCAGCCCACGCTTGTCAACAGGAAACCCATTCACATCTCCATCAGCCACACAATCTCCACAGATTCTTCAAAACATAATAACAGTAGCCATGCAAAGTATATATAAGATGTCTCAAATAATTGTACTTAATTACATATGAAGGTGATACTATTTTTGTTATGTTAAGCAAATAAAGTATATTATTTAACTCATTCTCTTCTCTTTGTATTTCTAATGCGATGACGAGACAGTGGGATTTCCATGAGGCTCACAACGTATTGTGAATGAACAGTGCTGGTCTGCACCCCTTCAGGTTACAGGGGCTGTGGAGTGACCTGGTGCAGGGAGCCCCGTCTCCATCCATAGGACATCGGTGTGAACCCAGGGAGGGGCGCTGGTGTAAGAGAGATGATAACACAGGTGTGAACCACCTGCTTGTGCAGGGGACTGAGCCTTCATTTTAAGTCAAATAATATCCTTTCCTATCTTCAATCCGTAACAATAGGGCTCTCTGGTCTTTTTGCTTTCAGGTTTGTGCCCCTTCAAGTTTCAGGCTGTCAGGAAACCAGCCAGGGAACACTGAGGAAATCCAGGAGTCTGACACTGACTCTGTTGTATGCCATCTGCCGGGACCATCCCAAACTGCATCGTACCATTTCCTTTCCTGGTGCTCAAATAGCTGCTCCACGCACTTGTCCTGGTTCCAGACATGAATCTAGCTGGGAAGACAGGATAGTGTATGTTATAATATTTAAATGGAACCTGAATCCATTAATATTTAATATGAAACATTAAAAGAATTTTGTCATAAGCAATGGGGAAAGAAGAAAAGATACAAAAATCCTTTTAAGGAAAAAAACAAGAAAACGTATTTATTGAATGTCTGTGTGTCTTCATTGTCGCAAGGCTTAGAGAGGTCAGCTTTAAGTTGTGCTGAGGAAGTGGTCTGATGGGAAAAGTAAGAAAGTAGGAAACACTCATCTCTGTGATTTAACACATAAATTACAGTTCAATAAAGCAAACATTCACAATAAATATCATGCTGGTGCACACAGAAAAGCCTGTTAACAAACTTTCCCTTTTTCCTGCTTGGTCATATTCCCATGGATCACCTGTGTGCAGTGTGGGCTCTGTGGTCCCCATTTCTCAGGCTGAGACCCAGACGGTGGGAAGGACACGTCGTCTGCTGATGAGTGGGAAGGGCAGCATTGGGAGCAGTGGAATCAGGCTCAGGACTGTGCACCTGGTCAGTGCTCCTGTTCCCTCCACAGGGTCCCTCCCACATGTGCCCGTGTGGATGTGGGTGCACTGCCTGGGGCGGCTGATGTGCTCCAGGGATTCGATGCTGCAGATGCTTCAGCACAAAGCGTGGGGGTGGGGATGGGACGAGGCTGCACCTGGGGAGACCAGGGACCAATGATACCCAGCAGAGGGGTCCACCAGGTGGGCACCCCCATTTCCTGACAGTAGAAACAGCCTGGAGGTGGGTGCCAAGCAGAGGGCACTGCAGGGTGGGCCAAGGCCTAGAAGGTCACAGAGACACAGGCACCTCACAGCAGAGACACTGAGGGCCAGGAGCTCACTCAGGTAAGGGATTTCAGCAGATCTTTCTCTCCTGAGGAAATCAGGTACAAAAAAATTAAGTTCCTGCCATCAGAATAGACAAACAAGGACTTAGTCTCCTCAGCTGAGCCCCACTGTCCAGGGAAGCAGAAGCCTCTGAGCCCAGGCCCAGGTGAGGGTGGGGTGAGGAGAGGAGCTCAGGGTGTAGATTTGCATGGAGGCCCCGCCCTCCTCTGAGGCAGAGGGGATAACACAGGGCTGGGGGCAGGTCCAGTGCTGGGATCTCAGGAGGCAGCGCTCTCGGGACGTCTCCACCATGGCTTGGGCTCTGGTCCTCCTCACCCTCCTCACTCAGGGCACAGGTGACACCTCCAAGGAAGGGGCTTCTGGGTCCTCTGGGCTGATACTTGGTCTCTTGCTCCTCAGGCTCACCTGGTCCCAGCACTGACTCACTGGAGTGTGTTTCTCCCTCTTTCCAGGATCCTGGGCTCAGTCTGCCCTGACTCAGCCTCCCTCAGTGTCCAAGTCTCTTGGACAGTCGGTCACCATCTCCTGCACTGGAACCAGCAGTGACATTGGTGGTTATAACGGTGTCTCCTGGTACCAGCAGCACTCAGGCACAGCCCCCAGACTCCTGATTTATGAGGTCAGTAAGCGGCCCTCAGGGGTCTCTGATCGCTTCTCTGGCTCCAAGTCTGGCAACACGGCCTCCCTGACCATCTCTGGGCTCCAGGCTGAGGATGAGGCTGATTATTACTGCGGCTCATATAGGAGTGGAAGCACTTTCCACAGTGGTTCAAGTTCATGGGGAACTGAGACCAAAACCTATCCTGGGCTCTCAGGCTCCCTTTCTGCTCTGAAGATGCTTCCTCACCCAGTGCAAGGGGCTTCCTGCAGCATGACCTTCAAAATTCTTCTCTCTCAGCTCCTCTCCTTTCCCACCATGAAATCCAACAGGAAACCTGCCCCGTGGTTTCTCATCCAGGACAGGGACAGCTTCCTGATGCTTGTGTGCTGTGGTCCCTGAATGTGCAACTCTTCCTAGCTCTTCAAATACAGAGACAGTGACAAGGAGCTGCCTGATTGATGTAGTCACTGATTTTTTGGGGATGTCTTCACCCTAAATACATCACCATCTCCCACACCGTGGGTAGAATTTTAGCCAACTACATTCTAATGGTTATCGCCACAACTTTGATCTTAGAAACGACAGTGCAGCGAACATCACTGTGCAGCCTCCTTTTCGTTCCTGTGTGAATATGACGATATGATCCATTTCTGAAAGTGAAATTGCGGATCAGAAAGATGTGTGCTTGTAATTTTCACCGGTTGTTGTCAGATTCACCGCCAGAGAGATCTACCAATTTTCAATGCCAGCCATAAGTGCTTACTCAGAGTATATTGTTGAAAGTGTAAATTTTTGCAAACATATCAAACTGAAAAATGTTACCTTTTTACAGTTTTATTTTTGAGTCTCCTGTTCTGCCTAAGATTGGGCCTTTTCAGAAATAGTTCATTACTTTTTCTTTTTTGCATTTGTTAAACTTTTTCTTAAATATCGAGATAAGAAGAATTTTAGTCTTTGTAGCCAGGCACTATGGCTCACGCCTGTAATCCTGAGCACTTTGGAGGGGTAAGACGGGTGAATTGCTTGATCCCAGGAATTTGAGATTAGTCTGGGCTACACAGAGAACCCTCATCTCTATTACATTAAAAAAATAAAAATAAATTTTGAAAAGAATTATTTTAGTCTTTGTTGCCCAAAGATCAACTTTGGGGATATTCCATAGATACCTATAGCATCATTTACAATGTAACCATTTAACATGATAAAAACCACTGTCAGCTCTGGGCCATACTAAAACAGGTGTCAGGTCAGGGATGGCCACAGGATGTGGTTGAACATTCCCTGGTTTGTAGGTTTATCTGAAGGTTGAAAATTCCACCAGCATATGATCTAGGTGGGGATCTCTCTGTGAGGGTCACTGTATTTCACCTGTATTATGCTGAGGTCTTTCATTGGATAAGAACATCCTCATATCATCTATTTGATTGGATCATGGGTTTAAGACAGCCCTGGGTCACAATCACATAACATTTTTCTGCATTGCTTGCTCTGAGTTTTGGGAGAGTTTTAATTTATCAGGAATAGACTCCCCCTAAGGCAAAAGTCTGAGGGAGTGGGAGGGGCAAGTGGGCCAGAAAACTTGTACCAAAGCTGGAATATCCAAGGCAGGCTCAGAGAGAAGGGTCCTAATATCAACATTTGACTGAAGCCAAAAACAGAAGAGAACATGGAAGTTCTGAGAATGACAAATAAACAAACAGTTTAAGTTTTACATGTATTGAATATTTTTATAATCCATGAAAATTCTAGAACAGAATTTAACAATGGGATAAGGAAGAGAGCTTGAGATGTTAAATGATAAAGACCCCAAGTCAAGTTGCCAGAGAAAGAACAGAACCTTTTTGGCAGAAATATGTTTATGCTGCAAATTATCCTCTCATATACATATGTGCGTGTGTGTGTGTGTGTGTGTGTGTGTGTGTGTGTGTGTCAGGAAACATTCCATGGCACATCCTTCTTTCCTACAGTCAAGATCACCCTCACTCCACAAGGGAACCTAAACCAAATGTCGTATCAAACAGAAAAAATAATGCACTTTGTATAACCATTAGAGAGTCTCTATTTGCATATCAAAATGTGGATACTTAATGTTAACATCGAAAATATTACTTTAATTTGCATATGAGATGAATTTTCTTTAGACTGTTTATGTCTGTGAGTTGTCTTTCTTAACAAGGGCATACTCTTCTCTTAGTACAATTTAACTTAATGTACTTTTTGTTCTATGTTCTGTATCAATTCTGTTTTTTTTCTAAACACTGATAAAGATATCCCATGGCTACTGATTAATAAATTCAATTAATGGGTATTTAACTTATGTACATTATTTCAAGGGTAGACAGTTGTGGTTTTCAGACATGTACCTCACAGATGTTGCTGATGCTGACTGGCTCTTCTCTTCTAATCTTAGCAAATAAAGTGGGAAATTTGACTTTCCTGAACACTCAGCTGACAACAGGAGAGAGGAGGTAAAACCCCCCAAAGCTGTTATCCTTTAAACCCTCAGGATGAATCAGACCTGTAGAATCACCCACACTTGAGTTAGATGATATGCAAATGAGAGTTTGGTCTTAGAGTTTGGATCGGGATTTAGGTGATTGGGATGGGACGAATGCATTTTACAAGTAAAAAAGACATGAGTCTTGGGGTCTGTAGGGTAGAGAGTTCTTGGCTGAATTGTGTCCCCCAGATCTGGGTTGAGTGACATCCCACCATGAGGAGTCCCAGAGAAGTAAATTTGCATAAACACCAAACATGCAATGCCCCACCGGGCCTGAGAGGAAATAAGTGAAGCCTGGGGAGTTCCCATGTGCTTTGGGCTCAGGAGTTCGAGCTCTGGGTGTCTTACCATGGCCTGGACCCCTCTTCGGCTCTCCCTCCTCACCCTCTGCAAAGGTGCTGCCCCCAAGCCCTGCCCTAGGCTCAGCCCTTGCAGGCTCCTGAGCTGGTCCTGCCCTGAACCCTGAGCACAGCCTAGGCACAGCCTCAGGGTGATACCACTGGAAACGTGTTTGTTATCCTCAAGCCCCCTCTCCTGTCCTCTTCTGCAGGCTCTGTGGCCTCCTATGAGCTGACACAGCCACCCTTGGTGTCAGTGTCCTCAGGACAGACAGCCAGGATCACCTGCTCTGGAGATGTACTGAGGGAAAATTATGCTGACTGGTACCAGGAGAAGCCAGGCCAGGCCTCTGTGCTGCTGATATATAAAGATGGTGAGCGACCTCCGGGAATCCCTGAGCCATTCTCTGGGTCCACCTCAGGGACACGATCGCCCTGACCATCACCAGGGTCCTGAACAAAGACACGGCTGACTATTACTGTTTTTCCGGGGATGAGAACAATCCCACAGTGACACAGGCAGATGGGGAGGTGAGACACAAATCCATTTTTCATATGTGTCATCTTCTTCCTCCAGGACCAGGAAGACTGTGGACCAAGCCATGAGCAGGTCTGGCCAAGTTCTACTAGATCTGAGACCTCCAGGCCATCCTTTTGTCTAGCCCTACATGTTGACTCTGCAGGAA